TTTTTTTTGTGAACTTTGTGGTTTTTGATTGAGAACTTGTCTGGTATGGACGTTTTCCCTTGGGGTATTTTCAGTACTGTTTCTGCTCCTGGCTCCAGATCAGAATTTGCATTTTTGGCTGAAACCTCACACCCTGAAGAGATATATAATTCCAAATCCCAAAATCACATGATATATAGACCTTGGTTGCAAATTGCCTTAAAGAAGAATTAAAACAATTTACTGTGTCTTCTTGCATTTCCAGCGTTAGCTACGATTATTTCAGTAATTCATATTTAATAGGTGAAAAGTGTGCATTATCATTTCAATGTTTATTTCATTTATTAATACTTAGAATGAGAACCTTAAAAGAATTATCTGTTTATAAATGATTGGTAGTTGAATTTCTTTAATTTTTCTTTTCTTTGAAGTCTTATTTCCATTTCTAACCATGTAATTGTCCAGCTTGATTATTATTATTTACCAATAACTTTTGTCATTTGCCAAAAGTCAGATTGTAGGTTTAGAGGATAAAGATATTTGAAAGTGTCTGCACTCTTTTGGCACCTCTTGAGCTTTTCAAATTCAACCTGTTTTCACATACTTTATACTATGTGATTAGAAATGAGACTCACAGTTGTGATCCTGAACCATTGCTGAAACTGAGTTTGGTGTTCTAGTTACTTTTGCTGTGTAACCAACCTCTCCAAACTTAGTGGTTTAAAATAGCAACCATTTTACAATGCTCATGGATTCTCTTTGTCTGTAATTCAGAATGAGCACAGCAGGAAGAGTTTATCTCTGTTCCACAGTGTCTAGGACCTGAGCTGGTAAGACTTGAAAACTTGTGGTAACTTGATAGTTGTAGTCTTCTGAAGACTGATTCAGTCACATGTCTGGCTGGTGATGCTTGCTTTTGGCTAGGACCTCAGCTCAGGCTGTCATCTGAACTACCTTACAGAGCAGCTGGTGGGTTTGAACCACCAGTCTTCTAGGTAGCAGTCACATTCCTTAGGCACTGCACCACCTGAGGTCCCTCAAACACTGTGTTGTTGTTATGTGCCATCGAGTTGGACCCGACTCATATCAACCCCTCCTTGGGTCTCTGAGGCACTATCACTACAGAAGTAGATTGCCCCATCTTCCTTCTGAGGAGTGGCTGGGGGGTTTGAACTGCCAGCCTTCTGAATAGCAGTCAAGTGCCTTAGGCACTACGCTACCAGAGCTCCCTATAGGGTCACTATGAGTTGAAATTGACCAAATGGCAATAGGTTTGTTTTTTGGCAGTAGGTTTAAGGAGCCCTGGTGGACAGTGGTTAAGCACTTGGCCACTAACTGAAAGGCTGGTGATTGAAGCCCACCAGCAGCTCCACAGGACAAAATACCTGGTGGTCTGCTCCCATGTATTTCCCATTGCCATTGAGTCAATTCTTACTCATAGCAACCCTATAGAACCAGAGTATAATTGCCTGTGTTAGGCTGGGTTCTCTAGAGAAACAAAAACCAGTAAAGTATATATATGTCTATATATATAGAACTTTATCTTAGGAAAATGGCTCATACACTGGCAAGTCCAAAGTTCCTGGATCAAACATCAAGCTGGAGGCTTTTCCCAACTCTTGCAACTGCAGGGGCTGAAGAGCTCGAGGCTGACAGGCAGTACACCAGCTATTGACTCCAACTAATGACGAATCCAAGATCTCCAGGCCGAATGGTGGACTGTTCACTCAGGGACAGTTGTAGGCAGCACAACAGAATCCTGATCCATTTGAATGTCTCTCTTCCCAGGATGTCCTTGGGTATACTGGAAGCAAGCCACACCCCTAGGGAAACTCCCTTTCAACATATTGCCTGCTCAAAACATAATCATCTGATCCCATCGTGGGAATAACCACATCACAACAGCTTAAACCACACAGAATTGTGGTCAAGCCAGGTTGACACACAGCTCCAACTATTACACTGCCCTATAGAGTTTCTAAAGTTGTAAGTCTTTGCGGAAGCAAACTGCCACATCTTTCTCCCACAGAGCAGCTGGTAGGTTCAAAGGGCCAACTTTTTAGTTAGCAGCTAGTTGCTGAACCACTGCACCACCCCAGCTCCTTTCTGTGAAGAATACAGCCTAGAAAACCTCATAGGACTGTTGTACTCTATCCTATAGGGTCACTATAGGGTCACTATAGGATAGCAATTAGTTGGAACCGACTTGTTGGCACATAACAACAAGAGTAGTTAGGTTTAATATGAAACCATGTTGTTGTTGTTGTTATGTGCTGTCGAGTGAGCCCTGACTCATAGTGATCCCTCCTTGGGTTTCCAAGGCAGTATCACTACGGAAGTAGATTGCCCAACCTTCCTTCTGACGAGTGGCTGGTGGGTTTGAACGGCCAGCCTTCTGGTTAGCAGTCAAGTGCCTTAGGCACTATGCTACCAGAGCTCCAAATTTTATTATGGTATATGCTTTTATTATATTCCTCTTTT